GTCACTGAGCTGGGGGGGCACCTCCCCTTGGCAGTGGCAGCTCCTGCCCTGCCCCCCGCCCCTCATGCCGTAGCCCCCCCCATTCCCAGGAGATGGCGAGGGTGGGGACCGGCAGGAAGCAGGAGACCCTTCCTAAGCGCTGTCGTCTCTCCTCGCCAGGTCCTGCATCCTCAGCGAGGTGTCCACGCGCTCGCGCTCCAAGCTGCCTTCGGGGAAGAACGTCCTCCTGCTGGGTGAGGAAAGCATCCCGATCCTTCTGCCTTCCCCTCCGCACACAGACTGAGGAAAGCATCCCGATCCTTCTCCCATCCCCGCCGCACACACAGGCGGGCTCCTGGGCTCTCTTGGGCGCCTGCAGCTTCCCTTGTTTAGCGCCCCAAGGGAAGGGGGGGTGATGGGTGGCAAGGCGCTGTCTTAACCCTCCCGCTTCCTCCCCTTGCATGGCTTTGCTTCTTTTTGGAGATTGTCCACAGATACTTTAGATGGGCGCCTCATCATAGGTACCTCGCCATAATACCCTCACTGTCCTTCCCCCAGCCTTGCTCCATAGGCGGGGATGGCTTGGATCGGGAGCTGTTATTGTCTCTCCCACGTGAGCCTTGGCTTTGGGAGGCGTGCGGCTCCCGAAGCCTCCCCCGCCGGAGCCGAGCCGGCGGTGCCGCTTGCCGGCGCTTGCGGTGTGTCATGCGGACACAAAAACCGCTCCCATGGCCCGAGCGGCATCAATGACGGTGCTGCCTGCGGGCCGGAGGGCGGGGAGGGCCCGGGGAGGGCCGTGCGGGCTCTGCCCTGCCCACTCGCACCCAGCGGCAGCGCTGCCGCCCTGGGATCTCCACCCAGGGCCTGAGTCCAGCCTGGCCCTCGGCAAGGTGAGAGGTACGGAAGGGGACTTTGATAGGGCGGTGATTGGACACCCAGCTGCAATTCATGAAGGAAAAAGATACGCCAAAATTAAAAGCTTCATGGAGGAGAGAGAGAAATGGATGGTCTCAAGTGTACGTGTATGAATAGTTATTAGTATTATTATTAGTGTGGTGTGGTTTTTGTTGTTTTGTTTACCTCAAAGACTATTAAATACTATTACCAGTAGACAACATAATGAGTTCAGGTGTATGGATTTATAACAAGCTGCTTCTTCCACTCCTTTTGCCAGCCTCCCCATCCCCAGAAAGAACTGTGTTAATATTTGGAAACAGGGTTAAAACTCAGAAAATATATTTTTGCAGACTCTGTGCACGCTATGATTCTGCGTAGCCTCATGGTTTGTACTCTCGAGGTTTTTCGAGTTAGGCTTTTTTTTTTTTCCCTCTGTAATCCTAAAGCAATCACTGTGATCCTTTTCTTCCTGTTTTGATAAGCTGAGTGGTTACTTAAAACTGACTGAGAAGGAGAAGACTGTGCAAGGGTGATAGCATGGTCTTCTGAAGCTCTAACAAGACTTACTACCCTTTAATTTGTTGCTTTGTATGTTATGTAATTAAGTAGGATATTGAGATTGGAAGTTGCAGTGATATTAAACAAAGGAAATATTTCATAAGGATTGGCAGCTTTTTAGGTATGACACTTTGAACCTAAATTGGATGATTGTCCTTGCTGAAGTTGGAAAATTCTTCTTCAAGCTGTGATCCTTGTCAAGAAGATTACACTGTTTGTTTTTCTTCTCTCTTCGTAGTCAGGTAATCCTTAGTGCTCAGTAACTGGAGACTGCTTCCTTCAGAGCTAGAAAGGATACCATAGATTGTTTCCAAATGCTCATGTAGTTTGTGCCATACAACCTGTTGTATATAAATTTCCTTTTTTGCCATTTATGTACAGCTTATAGAATGACTTAATGTAAAAGCTTTTTCTCCTTTATTTGTCTGATGCATTTCTTTGGAAAATGTACAGATTTATAGAAGAAATTCTAATTCTTGCTTAGAAATTGTATTTTCTGGAAGGCCTTGATCCAACAGGGGGCAAAAAACCCCCAAATTTGGCATGTATTTAGGAAAAAGAATATCAGGTCTGAGGACTGGCCAGTGAGGACCATGGCTGTGTTTTTCATGAGAATATGTAATCTTTGTTGTTCACTTGCAAGTTATGATGCTGCTCCTGAAGCAGAGTGGCACAGGAAATGGAGAGATTTTATGTATTCTGTATTGGACAGATTCAGTGTGTGAAGTTCTATCTGTCTGGATTTTTGAGCTGTGTTTATGGTTTCTCTGTTACCAAACATTTCCTCTATGTTCAAGCTTTGTTCCTTTAGATAGTTTTGTACCAACTTTTGTTACTTAATACAGAGTACTTCCCGGCATGGTAATTTTAAGTTTCTTTATACTTTCAGTACTTGTAAGCAAAAGGTGTAAAGCTGACCAGCATCATGATAGTTTTCAGTCAGTTTGTGGCAGGCAAATATTTACTGTATAAACAGTCATATTGGTCAAAACTTGCCAGATTAAATATGATTTATAGTAACAAATGAGTGCTTATTTTCAATACAAACTGCATTAAAAATAATCCCTTAAACCTCCAACATCTTTTGGCCCCACCCTGAAAAACCAACTGGAAAAACCCACCATGTAGTGTTCTTTTGTTTGCTAGGACAGGTTTTCTAATTTGCCTACAGCGTTTTTATTTTTCAAACAGTGCATATAGTTGTACGCCTAATTGTTCTGGAAACCTATGTCTGGCATGCAAATTCTGCTATTTCAGTGTTTATTTTTAGCTGTGTTAACATCTCATTTTTAAGAACCTGGAAAGCAGTTGGAGTTATCTAACTAGAGGAGACTGGAATGCCAAATGTTAATCTCTAGATATGGCACATTGTTTTGTGAAGTGAAGGTTAACAAATAATGTTGGTAGTCATTTGCTCAAAATCAGCCCAAAATTAATTGACTTACAGTTTTATTCTCCAAAGTTGTTTCACTTGCAGACATTTTGTCAATAACTATTTTTCTTTAAAGTTTAAACTCTGATTGGCACCACCTGTGGTGTGAAAGCTTCTCATCTTTCTGTTCTTGTATGAACAAATAATAAAAGTGCAAGCTTTTCTAAACTTTACTGTAAGTCCCTCATGCTCTGATTCCTAGGTAGTTTTGTCATAGTGGCCATAGCTACCAGCAGAAAATGTAAAAATGTCCATGCGTTCTTAAGGATATTGAGTGCTCTCATTGACATTTCTAGCTACTTTTTGCAGATAGCCAAAGCAGTGTGGTTTTGTTGCTCTTGCTTAATTCTTTTCTCTTTTTTCTTCTTCTCCTGGGCTGCCTTTTGCTCAATTGCGTAATAAAGGTAGTTGATCACAGGAGCTAGTTTTTGTGATGAGAGAACTGATGCTTATAACTGGGAGCTCTTGTGTTCGTTCCCTTTCTGATATATCAGTGAGTGGAGTAGAGGGGAGCAGCTGACAACTCACCATTGCAGATTATGGATGGAATCCTCAGTGCTGTGGAATGTGTGAAGGCTTGGATTCAGAGACCTGAACTAAGAATTTATCCAATAAACTGCTGCATGCATTCAAGCAGTAATGTTCAAAGTCATTCCAGGATGCACCAGAACACAGGCTCCCAGCTGGCAAGTGAATTGAATAGATGTTTTCTATCTGGCTTTGTGTTTCATACATTTCCTCTGTCTCTGAAGCACAGTATATTCTTTGGCTACAATTTTAACAATGTCAAACCATCCAGTGACACTCATATGCCTGACTCTCTGTGTCTTACTACACAGTTATGCTTCTTGTGAATCACTAGTGTGCTTGAGTTTTGTATGCATTTTACTCGACTTGATGATAAAAGCTTTGAGTTTAATGGGCAGTGAGAGTTCAATTGCCTCATGTCCACATATTCTCTTTATCCCAGACATCTCACTTCCCAGGGCTAGGCCTGTTTGTTTGAATCTTGGAGCTCTGCTCCTGTCCAGTGGCATCCAGTAAAGATGCTTGGAAAGAAGCAGAATCCACAGCTAATTTACAGGTACACTTTTCTGTGTGTAGGTGTACCATTTTCTGCAGTAGCAGCCATTCCTAGTATACCTTCAAGAGCAGGTTTAGCTTGCTGCTTTTTTCTAGTGAACCTGTGGAATATAAAGAACTTGAAAGTTAAGTTTTGATATGGCAAATTTTCATGAGATTGTAAAATCTGCTTACTTTAAATTTGTACTCAACAGTATAAAAATTAGTTTTTATTTTCATTTTTTCTTTCCAAAACCTGACAGCTTAGTTTTTATAATTTGATCATTGAAACTGATAAAATACTTCTTGTTCATACTGTCCATTATTATTAATCTCAAATATTTTAAAAACCCTTGTACTGCAGAAGTTACTTCAGAGGGTTTCTTTTTGTCCTCTTGCAAC